CACGGGCTTTTAGCTGTCAGTGATGTTACAATTGCAAATAATCTTGTTTTGCGTAATATTTAAATTAAAAAACGTCCCAACCGAACTTAACTAGTGAATAAAATCTATTTTTCAATTGATTTTAATAACAAATGAAAATTTATTATTTGTTTAATTAAAACTGGAAAAAAGGAAAATATTAATGGAACAGAAAACGGTTGCACGATGTGACAAATGTTCATTAAAAAAAAAATATCATATAGAAAAAGTTAGAATCGTAAAGGGAAAATAATATATTCTCGGTAATTTGAGCTTTGTCAAATTACATTTTAGTATAATTTTTAAACATCATACTCTAGTGGCCTTTCAACAATTTGTCTCCTTTCTCTTCCCTTTTTAGCTCTTATCGCAGTAAGAAGTGCAGATAATTTACTTACAGATACAATCTTAATTTAGATGATGTAGATTACTTTTTTACGTGAGCACGAGACTGCCGGTATAAACACATTTAAATACTCTTTCTATCATTTATGTATTTTGTTTTCCCCCCTTTTTTTTCTATGTGTTGGAAAGCTATTTGATTGTTCATACAGTCATCAATAATTTGTACTTAATAGACAAAGCAGCACACCACCATATAAGCTAAGACCCCGAAAGCAATAAAAAACGCGATGGTACGTAGGATAGATTGTCGTCATACAATACTCGTTTGCGTGCTCTCTCGACGACAATTTAAACATACAAGAATTTCAGGAACTAATATTTAGATAACATTCATTTATATGCCGGACGTTAAAAGTAACAAATTTTATTGCTCCATAATTGCTGTAGATATATTCACATAATCTCTTTTTAAATTTCTTCCTTAACTCTTCTATTCTATTCACTTTATTTTATTTCTTTTTTATACTATTCAAAAAAAGAAAAGAAGAAAATTAGAAATATTTTGGTGTAGATAAACGAAATTATTCGTTTCTTTCTAAGGGTTATCACTGATCTCTTTTTTCCAGAATGTACAGATCACACATTAATAAACAGGTATTAAGCAACCCTAAATACCACATAATACGATGGCCAGTGCATCTACTCATGTATCGTTATATCTAACATTATATACCTAAACAACTTTGCCAAAAATAGATTTAGTCTATGTAACATAGAGTATAGTTAAGGGCATGCGATAAAAATTAACATTTTATCTTTCTCTTTTACAACTTCATATACAGCATTTACATATTTCTTCTTTATTTTTCTTTCTCTTCTTACAGCTTTTCTTATCAGTGATATCTCTTGGCATACTACTGCTTTATAGAATTTTTAAATTCACTTACAGTAATTAATGGAGCAACTTAGTTTTAGTCGTTATCAAAGGAGCCTTATAAACACACTCGTATAAATATATATACACGCGCGCATACAAGCGCGATACATACATTTTACACTTTCACTCATACACATATTGCATAAATACATTCTTTCTTACACTTATATACGAGTATAAACGATATCATCAATCAATGCTATTCCTTATTTTCAATATTGTAATAAAAAAATATTTTTTTTACGCATATTATTAAAACATTATTATTAAAACATTAATATTATATTTACATTTTCATTCAATATTTTTATTAATGAATAATAAAACGCATAACAAAAAGAATAAACAGTAACCATTTTCTATATAACTATCGTAATCTGTTTTCATTTTATAAATATGAATAGCATTGAAAAAATGGTATCTTTACATTGATAACATCATTTATTTGAGAAAGAGGCATAAACTATGAAGAAATTTTACATAATTGCGATCCAAATAACAGATTGCTTAACTTTTTTCTCGTACGTCGAAACGATCCTTCCATTTAGTACGTATTTGATATACTTCCTGTTTCCCAAACAGGTAACATATCTTTTAAATAAGTCTCGACAATGACTATGTTTTATATTTAATTTACATTTACATGTATAACAAATTTGTAAATATCAAAATATTCAAAATTTAATTGTCTTTTTTCCAAATATAATGCATAATTTTAACTTGTGACTATGTATAGTTAAAAAAATATTCTGTTTTAAGTAAAATACTTATTTAAAAGATACGTGATACACATTTAGGCTTAACATCTTAACTAGGAAATGAAATCGAAAATTAATCGGTTGATAAAGTACACAAAGCTTGACTTCTCTCGGTCAAGCTATAGATTGCCAGTTTTTAAATTCTGTTGACAGAACACTGTAGAATACCATTTTTAAATGTACCATACGTGAAGAGAATGAACTTATTTATGAAATAACATTGATAAAAGAAAATGAAAGCAATGGACAGTTACTTCGTTAGGCATTTTTTTTTCTCTCAGTTATAAATATTTAGCTCGTGGTAGCTTGTTAAATAACAGAAAAGCATAACTATCCTTATATATTTTTTTTTTAATTATTATTATTATTATTATTATTATTATTATTATAATTATTATTATTATTATTACCATCGTAGACGCGTAAGTAGAATTAGGTTTGAGCTCTCTACTAATTCTGAAACTAGAAGATATTTTTTATAATTATTAGAATCGAGAAATCGAGTATTGCTATTATATATATATATATATAAATATANAAACAATCCTTCCCTGAATAATTATTTAAACTATAATTTATTGTATTCACCGTTTTTTGCACCAACGTTTACGTAAGACATATTTTTTGGCAACGACTGGCTTAATTTATTGTTTCTTACATTACTTTATACGAGTTTCGCTCTTTTTTTCTTTTCTCTTCTTTTTTTTTTTTTTTTTTTTTTTTTTTTTTTTTTTTTTTTTTTT